TCTGCTCTTATTTTATATTCATTAGTAAAATTTTATAATTTTTCTTCATATTGATCTTATACATTACTAGTTAGATTACTTCTAGATATTTTATAGTATGCTGTTATAGTAAATAGGAACCTTTATTCCATCATAGTATCTAACATGATTAAGGAAAACTGTGGATATTTTTAACATTTATTTTATACTCAGCCATTTTACTAAACTCTTTTATTAGATATTTATTCATCCAACCAATCAACATTTATTAAGTACCTATCACATGCTAGGTATTTTTCCATATACAGGGGATACAGCAGGACACCACACGTATGTTAGGGAATACGCTTTGCTGTAAACCTCCCGCTCCCCTCAATAGCTTAAATGAATGAAGCTTTTGTTTTTCACACATAATGTGAAGTCCAGAAAAGGCAGTTCAGGGCTGTTTTAGTGACTCCACAATGCCAACATGGATTCAGGAATTTCCTTTCTGTTTAGCAGTCACTATTCCTTGTCACTGTTTGACTTCCAGCACGTCCAGCATTCTATCTGCATTCCAAGCAGGAAGGAGGGTAAGGCAGAGGATACGAAAAGCATGATAGCTGACCTGATGCCCCCACCCTTTCTAGCTTTCCTAGAATCCCATCCCAAGACTTTTGCCTACACTCATGGCCAGAACTATATCACATGGCCATATCCATGTCCATTGGTCACATTATTGCTTCCCTCAAATCAGAATTCTTAGGAAAGGAAGAAAGGGAGAATTTGGAATAGGCACCTAGCAGGTCCTGCCATGACAAGACAAAATTCCTGCCCTTACAGAGGGAGATGTTCAAAGAATTTATAGCTGAGTGTCTTGGATTTTCAACAACTCAGTCCTTAGATCTCTTCTCTACTTTACTCTCTACTCATTCCACTGGTGACCTTATTCAGTGTCACGGCTGTAAGTACAGTTATATGCTAGTGACCCACCAGTTTACATTTCCAGCCCTGCCCTTTCCCCTGAACTTCAGACTGAAATAACCAACAGCCTACTTGGCATTTCCACTTAGATGTCTAACAAGTTATCTCAAATTTAACCTGTCCAAAATGAACTCCTTCACCAAGACTGTCCTCTCACAGCCTTCCCCATCTCGTAGATAATTTCATCCTTCCCGTTGCTTAGGCCAAAAGCCATCCTAGACTCCTGTCCAGCTCACATCTTACATGCAATACACAAGGAAATCCTGTTTCACTCTACTCTCACCTTTCAACCATATCTGGAATCTTATCACTCTCACCATTTCTGCCACTAACATTCTGGTCCAAGCCACCATTATTTTATGTCTGCATTACTGCAACAACCTCCTAAAATCATTATCCACATAGAGAATCCTGCCTACATTTTCAGTTCCTTGACTTCCTCTTCTTTAATGATCTTATCCTTGTCCCCTACCTCTGCTACTTATTCTTTGATCATTCCCTACCCTTTGTAATTACCAAAAACTGCAGCCCCAAAAGCTGTAATTTCAAAGTTAAGCATTCCACTTTTCTTTTTATTGGCACCTGCACCAACATCTGTTGCCAATCCTTTTTTCTCCTTCTTCTCCTCCCCAAAGACCTCCAGTACATAGTTGTATATTCTAGTTGTGAGTGCCTCTGGCTGTGCTATATGGGACGCTGCCTCAACATGGCCTGATGAGCGGTGCCATGTCCACACCCAGGATCCGAACCAGCGAAACGCCAGGCTGCGGAAGCAGAGCGCAGGAACTGAACCTGCGCAGGAACTTAACCCTGCCCACCTGGCCACAGGGCTGGCCCCTGAGCATTCCACTTTTGACAACCATTCTTTTCTACCCATTATATCCTCTATTATTTCCACTCTAACATTCCTCCAACTCCATTAGGACCTACAATCCATTAATCCCGTACTTTTTCACTATCCCTCACTCTCCTTTTATACTCTTACTTTTCTTCTTAGTGAGCTTAAATTCCATGGTCAATAATTTCTTTGTCTACATGCCCTCAACTTCCTTGTCTTTCTCTCTATTGTACTCACTTGGTAAACTCCCAAACCTGATTTGATCCACCTCTCCACCTGTACCTACACAGCTGATGTGGCTGAAGGAAAATATATAACCAAGCTGACTGATCCTACATTCAATTGATCACTAAGCTGAAGTGGAATATTTAACATTACCTGGAAATCATAGTCTATTTCCCTAGGATTTTTACTCTCTCATCCTTTTATTTCTTCTTCTTCTTTTTTTTTTAAGATTTTAGTTTTCCTTTTTCTCCCCCAGACCCCCTGGTACACAGTTGTGTATTTTTAGTTGTGGGTCCTTCTAGTTGTGGCATGTGGGATGCCACCTCAGCATGGCTTGATGAGCGGTGCCATGTCCGCGCCCAGGATTCGAACTGACGAAAACCCTGGGCCGCCGAAGCGGAGCGCGCGAACTTAACCACTCTGCCACCGGACCAGCCCCTCTCATCCTTTTCTAACCTTTTCCTTTCTTCTCAAACCTCCAACTCCCTTTCCCTTCGATCTTCAGTCTCATATGATGATCTTCCTTTATATTTCAGTGAGAAAAACAGAAGCAATCCAAAGAGCCCTCTATGAGCTTCCATCACCATATCTTCCTATCTACAAATGTCTCCATATATTCAGTCTTCTCTCTCAGTATGGATAAACTACTGGTATTTCTATCTTAGACCAACCACTTGTGCACTAGATTCTGTCCGATCTCATCCAATCAAGAATATCATTCCAGAAATTCTCCTGTCTCCTGTATCAAATTTTCCTGGATCATTTCTATTTGCATATATCATCATCTCTTCTGTCCTAACAAAATACAAAAACTCTCTCTGGACTCCATTTTCCCCTTGCAGCCACTATGCTATTTCTCTTCTCCCTTTATAGCCAAACCCCCTGAAAAAATTGCCTATATTCACTATCTCTAATCTAACTCTTCCCACTCTCTCTTAAACCCACTCCAATACGGCTCTCATCCCCACATTTATCAGAAATAACTCTTGTTAAGGTCAACAAAGCATTTGTTCTAGTTAACTTCTGGTCATCTTTCACATCTCAGTCAAACCCCACTGAAACATTTTCTGACTTTTTTGACTAGGCCAATCCATCTCTTACATGCTGTCACCATTATATCGCTTATCATGGTTATAATTTTATATTTTAACGTGATTATTTGATTAATGATTCTTTTTTCCTCAATAGACTCTAAGCTCCATAAGCCCAGGGAGAATGTCTATTTTTCTGTCATAACTGTATGGTGTCTAGCACAATACCTGGCACACAGGAGGTGACCAATGATTGGGAGAATGAATGCTTTATTACCATCATCCCCATTTTAAACTTGGGAAAAGGAGGCCCAGAGAAGTAAAGATATCAGCTCAAAGGCACATTGTGGATTATTGGTAGAATAGGGACCAGGATTAGTTGAACATATTGAGCACCAAGCACCATGCTTCATTCTGGGGTTACAAGACGAATGAGACATGCCCCTCTTCTCCCAACCTTGGCCTTATAGAGCCTTGCCCATATTTGGGCTGGATAGGACAACTTAGTGCAATATCAAGTGCTCCTTGTGTCCACAAGGGCAGCTAAGCTACCAGGTCAACAGAGTGCTTCACACTGTCAACTGCTCTGGTTCCTGTATTCAAAATGCCCAGGGAGAAGGCCTCTTCCCAAAAAGCATGTGTTTGATTATGCATGGTCACAGACATTAATGAGACTTACTGGGTGATCATTTTGCAATATATATAAATGTTATATGTCAACTATACCTCAATTAAAAAAATATATTTGTTTGACATGACATCGCAGGCTTCAGAATAAGACTCTTCAGGTGCATATCACTCATCACTGATCCACAAATTTTTAACCAGGAAGAACAGTGGGAGGAGTGAACAGGAAGATCAACTTATAGTTACAACATTAAGATCCATTGTCAGTTGAGGACCAGAAAGAAACAGAGAAAACGCATTTCAGAAATGAAGTTGTCAGGCAAACAGGACTTGAGTTATATGACTTTTAAGGAACTTACTGTACTAAAAAGATCTATGTACCAGTTGGAATGCTGCATATTTCAAGAACAGCAAACCATCAGGCAGAATGGTCAATAAACACAGCCCAATCTACCACTTTGTAAGGGACTACTATTACTAAGGTGATCATATGATTTATTATCCCAAATGGGGCATTTCAGGGATAAAAAGAGGCACTATGAAAAATTATGCCAGGACAAGGAGTGTTTACCAGGACTGTTCCAGGCAAACAAGCAGGTACCCTCTTTAGTAACCATCTTCCACTCATTACACGTGGAGAAAACCAGGTACTCCTTCGGTCATGCAAATGACTCCATTAGGCAAATCAAGAAGAGCAGCCAGGGGGCTGGCCCCGTGGCCGAGTGGTTAAGTTCGCGCGCTCCGCTGCAGGCGGCCCAGTGTTTCGTTGGTTCGAATCTTGGCGCGGACATGGCACTGCTCATCAGACCACGCTGAGGCAGCGTCCCACATGCCACAACTGGAAGAACCCACAACGAAGAGTACACAACTATGTACCGGGGGGCTTTGGGGAGAAAATGGAAAAAATAAAATCTTTAAAAAAAAAAAAAAAAAAAAGAATAGCAGCCAGAATGGACAAGTCACCAGTCCAATGTGAGCTCTATTTAAAGCATTTTTACCCTGAATGGTTAGGTTTATACTTACTACCTGCACTGAATAACAGTACAGTTAAGAGTTACCAGCTTTATCTGCTTAGTTCTCTAGCCCCTACACACCTGATCTTCAATATTTAGGAAGGCCATTTCTATCCCCATTTGGAGTTTAATCCTGATGCTTAAGAAAGAACGTACTTTTCTGTGCTAAATCAAACAGAAAGTCTTTCTTCAAATTTCCAGAGGCTTCCTTCTTCCCCAAAGGCACAATTGTTTTATATGAAATACACATGAATATTTGCCACGTCTTCTGTAATCAAAATTGACTCCTAGGTCATTCACTGAATCAACATAGCAAAAACAAGATCACTAGCCACAAAACTTTATTGTAGGGATCAATACATATATCCTTCTGAGAAATATTTTGAACCATTCACTTGATGGTTATGAACACATCAGGATCTGTTTTATTGGTATATTTTTGGTTTTCTTGGTGAGGGAAAATCATAAATCAAGTCTAAAAGGCATGATTAAAAAAATCTATAAAAAAGGAGGATTAAATACTGCCAGCCCTACTGTGTCAAGAAACATCGTATAATTCAAATCAAGAAGATACTTCCATAGAAGTCCAGCAAGGCATGATGGCAAGTGGAAGCGAAATAATCTGTTATACAAAATGCAAAAAGAGTCGAAGATGAATTACAAAAAATAAAGTTTTGGTCAGAAAATTATTACTACCTAAAGCCACAGAAGGATGTCTATTAGTTGCTTTCTTTAAGGGGAAAAGAAATCAAACTGTTAGTTTTCTATTTATTCAGAAGGAAAAATAAGGTAAGTGTTTGGAAAATACTTCTGATATTAAGTGAAGTCTTCCTCAACTGCAATCTAGAATTCACAACCATCTGACATTCTTGCCAATCTGCAGAAACAAGGCCTTCAGTGGGACACTCACAACACCCGAAGGAGGTCCAGAGTAATCCTAGATCGGGGGATGTCAATGTTGAGTACTTGGACTTCCACTCTTTCTCCAGGGCCCAGTCCAAGACTCCTTCTCTTCTTTGTTTTAGAAAGTTTTGCTTCTGTTACATTTCGTATGGGAATCAACCCTGATCTCCCCACTCCTATATCCACAAAAATTCCAAACAGAGTGGCATTCTCGACTTTGCCTGTAAGGACTGTCCCAACCTGTAGGTCTTCCAAGCAGACTATGCTTCTTTTGAAATCAGGCTTATCAAAATCTACAAAAAAAAGGGAAAAAAGACAGTTAGTGTAAATAACATGGCACTGTACTTCCTAGACACAACATAAATTAGTGAATAAGTATTTATTACATATCAATTATGTGCCCAGATCAGTATTAAGCATTGACGGGGGACACAAAAGGAGCTGGGGACACAGGCCTGCCTTCAGGGAAAATGCATCTTAGTTGGAGAAACAGCATTTACACAATAGAAACAATTCAAGAAAATTTACTCAATCTCTTCTTCTCAAACTATCTCGCCAACCTGTGAACATCAGCACTATACATAAGGACTGAGAAGAGTAATGAGTCTTTTTTCCTCTTTATGAGGAGGTGATGAGAAAATATATTTGTTCGACGAATATACAAGACTAAATCACAAACACTGAGAAAGTAAGACCCTTGGAGACAGAAGATTGGGAGTTTTTTTCCAGTGCCTGAATTCTCAAACTGTTTAAACATGGTAGAAAGTACATCAACATTTGGTCAAATGTGAATGAAATTCAAATGTTCTCCTCTCACTACCCTTCACAAATTTGGAACTGAGGAATCAATTCCTATTCATTTTAAATATATTTATTCAGTGAAAATTTACGGATTCTTGATTATCTATGGCTCAGAAACCCAGATCAGCTAGTACCTAACCTTCTTTCTCCTCTTTCAATTCAATTCATCAAGCATTTATTAACTCCTATTATCTCCTGGCCAGGCACTCTGCTGGGTGCTTGAGACACAAAGATGAGAATGCACAGATCTCTGCTCTCAAGTTCCTTACAGCCCTCTTTTCTTGCGCACCCCAATGTAGACTTCTCTGTTCATTAATGCTATCCCTCAAAAGGTGGGCATAAAGCATGCCAAGGAATCATTATGGCTCTAGTTAAAAAAAACAAAAACAGGGGCTGGCCCCGTGGCCGAGTGGTTAAGTTCGCGCGCTCCGCTGCAGGCGGCCCAGTGTTTCGTTGGTTCGAATCCTGGGCGCGGACATGGCAATGCTCATCAGACCACGCTGAGGCAGCGTCCCACATGCCACAACTAGAAGGACCCACAACGAAATATACAACTATGTACCGGGGGGCTTTGGGGAGAAAAAGGAGAAAAATAAAATCTTTAAAAAAAAACAAAAACAAAAACAAAAACAACAACAAAGGTTTTATGGGGGAGAAGGTTAGAACTAACAGTTTAAACGGGACTTTTGGATTATCTATGATTCCTTTTATCCATGCTCTTCTTGGCCCCCTTTCCTAGGATTACTGAATGTTGATTCTAATAACAAAGAACACATTCTGTGCTTGGATCTCCTTTTACTAAGACCTCATTTTCCCCTCCACCCATTCCAGTTCCTTTTCCTCCACAGCTGTTGGCTTTATCCTGATTACTTGTTAAGGCTATCCTTTACATTTGTATTAACAACTGGTCACCTCTTTGTTCCCCTCCTCCAGTCCAACCATATTGAAATCACGATTTTTTTAAAAAAATTCAGCTTTTTCCTGTAAAACAAAAAAAATCCTCTTCAAACCTCAAATCTCATATTCCTCATAAAAAAGGAATATGCTAAAACTGGCATTGATTCTGTAGAATTTCATGTAACGCTGAAGCAGTCAATTCTAAAAGTAAGAAACCTGCTGTAATATAAAATTACTCTGGGAAGGACTGTGTCAAAGCAAAGTGAAACGAAGGCATTGATCAGGGTGAGAGGTAGGATGGTCTCTGAGGCCCCATAGGCATTGTTTTTATGCTTGGAAACTCTTTTTTTTCCCTTTTTCTTGCAGAGGTGCAGCTGCTACAGACTCCCCAAGGGTTCCTGATCAGCTGCTTAGTTTAATTTTGCATGGAAAATCAGAGTCAGGAACTACTTAACATGGTCCTCAAGACAGCCTGGGCCACTGAGAAATCAGAAAATCCTCCAAGGACCATGCAAACTTTAACACTTTGATAGCCAAGGGCCTGTTGCCAGGCTGTTTCTGGTGAACCCAATTATAGAAACTAACTAGCAACCAGAGTGTTAATAAATAGAATTGATTATATCATTGAGCAAACAGAAGACAGGATAAGTAAGAGGAAAGAATGAGGCATCAAGAAAGGAAATACTTTTGAGAAAATGGAGAAAAGAAAAGAGATGTAACATAAATACTGTAATGCAGAACCTCCAAAATACTATCTGCCCCTTCAAAATTATGACTGTCTGCCTTCCCCGGGGGATGTTTTCATTACTAAAATGAAAGTTCTCAGACATCTTGGAAATTGTGACTTATGTTAGGGCAAAGGTCAGTTCCAAAGTATTTAAAGAGACTTATTTGAAATTTTGCTTATATAGAGAAATTTTACTTATCTAGAGCCCCGGTGCATGTGTTTCTGCCCAACAAGGAGCATCATTAGATGAGGACCTCTACTTAGCTGTTGGTTGTTTAACTGAACCATCTAATTTGAGCGTTGATCTTTTGCTCTGAGTCTACACTGTAACCAGGATAATGGAGCAATCAACACCATGACAGAAAAACAAAGATGGATACGAAAATCCAGGACAGGACACCTGTAGCTAGAGCATATTTGCTAACCCTTTAATGTGGTGGTTCTAGGCAGACTACCCTTAAATCCCACCCTGCATGAGAACCACCACCCTACTTGGCATTCCTGCTCAGCAACACTCATGGGATTCACGTGAAAGGACACCACGCTTCCAGATGGAGAGGAAACAGCCACTTTGGAAGGACCACCCGAAGGCTTCTACTCCTCCACTTTTAGCATAGGTCTTACTGGGTGTTTTATTTTATTTTTCTCTGACTTTTTTTTTTTTAATTTCAAACCAACAGACAAGTTGAGGGGATAGTATAACAAGCTTCCTGGTTATGTTTTTAAATTCTCTTAAACCTTTTCAAAGAAGCATGTCTAACCACCTCCACACAACCTAATGTAGAATGAAAGGAGCCAAGCCCTAAATATGGTATCATAAAACTGGTTATGAGACAAATGTGCAGATTCATTTAAATCTCAGGGCTTCCTATTCAAATTTCCTTGGGAAGTAGGTTATTTGATACCTTAATTCTTTCTCACCAGGTCACTGCTCTCAACCACTATGGCTGTTACACTTCCCTTACTACCTACCTGTGTTGAAAGCTGAGAGCACTTTTAATTAGAAGGAAAATCAACAGAGATAGCATCTTATTTGTGCAGTGTGTTCACTGACACAGATTCCAGGAACTTGGAAGGCTGTAATTTAGAAAGAAGATTCACTTTTTGGTTTGTGAACTGAATGCTTTACCTTGGACTTCTGGCTCCTATGAGATAAAAACAGCTTACAGAAGGATCATGAAAAATGTGTCCCTCCATGCACACAGCAGTACATGCATGAAGCATCTAGTCTAGTGTAAGGGAAAATAAGCAAGGGATGCAGAGTCTGGAGACCTGGCTTCTAGCTTTGGCTCTGGATACTACCTGCAATGACTTTGAAGGAAAGTCACTACAGTTTTCTTGTGTATAGAATGGGAGAATAATATCTGTTTTGCCTATGGCATAGGATTGCTGCCATAGGAGATAATGTGGGCTATGCAAATAAAAGTTACTGTTATTCACGTTCAATTGTTTACCTGTTCGAAAGTCAAAGCTTTCAGGCTGATTGAGACCATCTATGATGACTTGTAACGTGTGAACAGTTGTTCGCAATCTTTCTGCAATTTTCTCTATTCCTTCCTTTTCAAGGAATGAATTTATTTTTTGTTGCATTTCAGGCTTTCCAATGTCACACAGTGTCCCTCCAATGAATGATAAAAACCTGTAGGGGGAAGAAAAAAGCCCAACTCTTACTAACAATATTACTTATTTTCCAATCTCCTTATACAGGTCACCTAAAATTCATTCATTTCAGATCCATGTATCAACCCATCAATCCATTTTTATTGAAAATCTACTGTGTCCCCCATGCTGTAATAGGTTATCTGTCCTGGAAAAAAAAAGGAGCGGATGGATTTAGGTTCTTGCACTATTTTCCAACAAAGCACCTGCTTAGAATCAGCATTAGAAATGCTTTACAGTGTAATGTTGATTAGAGTTTAGTGTCATATAAATTTTCCAAATAAGGATACCTATATTTATCTCATGTTTTCTAAAATTTCAGTTAGGAAAACTTATTTGAATTTAAATTCGCTAATAGGCAAACAATGTATTGATGATATCAAAATCCAGCAAAACATTGAACAAGCATTGCCAGCTTTTGACAAATGAATGACTCTATTCATGTACTATATCATTGCTTTTTACTTTTGTGTACCCATGATGACAGTGTTATCTGTGCCGCATACTATCAGCCTCATAATTCTCAAATTCCATCAATAGTCAAGCCTCACATGAACTAAATTATATCAAGTATATTTAGTATTCAGAGTCAGCAGAAAAAAATATGGGAGGGAATATCAAAAAGAAAAAGTCATTTCTTCCAAAATAGAAGACTTCAATTATATAATCTTAAGATGAGTATTATCTTTATGTACTTTATACATTATATAGCTGCAGTATTTACAAAATAAAAACATCTCCTCTCAATTTTCCTTTGTTTTATCATTTCCCTTGCTTGCACAGCTGCCTCTCAATTACTTAGCTTTGGAGTCCAGTAATAAGTTAATTAAGAAAAAAAATTAAAGCATTAAGATGCATTTCCCTTTAATTTCATTAGTATATTGGGCTGTGGCTTACTTTCTTGACATTCCTTGGCTGGGTATTTTTCTACATCATTAAGTTCCATTTTCTATGATTAATGGCACTTTAAAAATGTCAACACAGTAATCAGACAGCTAGTGATACTAATGCCCTCAAATCCTTTCCTCTAAGGATGTCTCTGGAATACAAGAAGGGAAAAAGCAAACTGTTGGACGCTTGTCTATAATCAGAATTGGGATGCATCCCATTTGGCAGGTTGCTGCATCATCATGAAAAGAATGCTTGTGATATCCATTTTTTTTTTTTTTTTTTTTTTTTTGCATTGTTGTGTTCAACCAGAAAAGGCTTCTTCAGTGATAATCCAGTGCTGACGATATGGTATCCGGGGAAGAAAGTTTTCTTCTCTCTCATTTAACTAGGATGTCTCTTTGGGTGTAAAAGTACAACCCTCCTACTTTTCCACCGCCATATTTTCAGTCAAAAACAGATTCTCCAAAATCCAATTAATTCTCTTGAGAGCTTATTTTGGTTAATGGTCTAATGAAAGACCAAGGAGTTGGTGCTTGGTCTCCCACTTTGGGAATGCACTTCCATCCAAACTGGTGGCCAGTGAGATACACTGTTAAGTCTGTGTGTCTGTGGCTTCCCCAGCCCCGTGGAGGCAGCTGGTATCTGTTAGTGCTGATGGATGGGCAGTAGCACGTAAAGGCCCTGGTGACAGGGAACAGCTGCTGGAGCTCTGACTGACGGGGCAGATGACACATGCCCACAGCCAACTTCCTTACACAATTTTCTAAATAATGCATGTCCTGCTGAGTAGGCTTCCCTGGTATTCACCGTCATGGCTCGATTGGTCTGCAACTGACTATTCAGCACAATATCTTTCAAATTCCCAAGATTCTGGCTTACAATCAAGTGGTAAAACACCAAAAAAGTGTATTCATAGGCTATAACCTTGAATAGTATTTTATAATTAATAAAAGTAACCAGCGGGCAGAAACTTCCCAAAGCGCTGTACAAGTTTTGGCCTCAGTAACAAAAACACTGGCTCGGGAGGCCACTTGGAGTCTTAAGGTTGTGTGTGTAACTAACTGCTACCAAAGTCACTTCCATATAAAGAATTCTGTTTATAGTGGTTGCAGATGTAAGAAGAAAATTGGTCTGTTTAACCTGGGGTGCATATTTCATATATCGTTTTCACACATAAGCCTGAGGGCACTGGTAACTGAAATCAATAAAAAAGGACCAAATTGTTCTCCTAGCTAATGCTTCATATTGATCAACTCTATTTTTAAATGACTACAGAACAAAGTCAAATGCTTCTTTATTTTGAAAACTTCCCTAAAGTTACAACAGGCTTACAGAAAAAGGAAAATAGCAAACAGAAGGGGACTATAAAATGAACCGGGAACAGCATTCAGACTGACCTCTCCCTTATTGGATTCAAATATATTCAACTACAAATGATAGGAAACAATATTTTACCCTCAGTAGCGACTCAATAAACGTGTTCCTTAAACATCTTAAGAAATATTTATCCTACGTATTCTGAATTTTCACTTGAGTGTGATAAGTAATATCTAATATAAAGTTTCACTTTAGAATTGAGTATAAGTAATACTCAATACAAAGTACTTTCTGGCTCAAAAGTACCATACAAAAATATACATTATGAAACTTGGAACACAGAATGTGAGTGAACACGTATTAATAAATATGTGTCAGGTGTTATGCCAGTGCTTGACAGATGTTCTCATTTAATCCTGACAATAATTCTAAAAGGCAGGTATCATGTCATATAGAAAGGGAAAGGTGAGGGTCAGAGAGGTTGAATAACTTGCCCAAAGGCCACACAGCTATTCTCACTAAATGGAGTTTTGTGCCATACGCATCTGTGTGTATCTGTTTATAACTGCAGTTACGTAAAAATTAAAATGCTATATTTGGTTAAGATATAAAACACAATACTTTTGGTAACATTTCACTGACACAATTTAATGGCAGATTAAACATTAGACAGTTAACTCTGATAAATCCCACAAATAAATTATTAACTATACACCTTTGAATAGACAATTCTCTCAAAAGTCAATGAGTTGTTAGAGTCATAGTTTCATTTTCTCCACTGTCTCTGCGAGGCTTTTTCGGTTTGCGAGGGACTGCTGTCTGAGCTGCTGTTTTTATTTAATATGTAATTTCATCCATCTTACTTAAAGTAAGAAAGTAGCGTAAATGCAACAAATAAGCACATCATGTTCTTTTAGCACACATCTGCACAAAGTTAAAATACAGACCTTGCAGTGCAGATAATGCGTGTTTTTCAAACAGTATGCTATATAACCTAAAATCACTGGTATTCTCAACAGAAACTTAGTACAAGTGCCAGGTTTTTCCCCTCAAAGAATAAGAAAAGTCTTTGTAAGATTTTTCTTGAAAAATAAAAAATTCTCCAGATTCTTAAGACCTCAGATACAGCCATTCTGTTTTATATAATCATTTCCAGCATTGAGGAAAAAATTTAGGAGCCCAGGACTTGGTTCATTACATTAAAGCAACATGATACGCCACGGAGCACAGAAGAACCACGGTGATGCAACTCCATCACTTGAAAAACAACTTCATATTAGTGTGCACTTTGTGGGCCAAACACGGAATTTATAACTCGAAAAGAACACATTGCCAGGGCCACGTCCTTCTAGTTGTCTATCCAGTCTCGACGCTTTTAAAAGGGACTTTCGATACTCTGGTTTCTCTTCAGAGCATATAAATCTTTCGCCTTTTATTAAAAGAGACTTTCGTATTTGTTTATTTTTATCCATTAGTTTTACTCAGTTGTAAAGTAATTACACCAATAAAACAAGAAATGCAAGAACACGGTCATTTTAGAAATAACAGGTACAGATGAAGCAGGTCATATTTTGTGATATAGGTAAACATCCAATGATTTAAAAAGAGAGCTTACACTCTGAGAGAAAATCTGGCCTTCTTAACTGTGATTGTAGATTAAGCAGTGGGACACAAAGGAAACTTCAGTCATAATCTGTTACACTAAAACCCACAGATACTATATGTATTTTTAAATGTGCTGCACTTAATATTAAAGATTGAATATAAATCCCAACATGGCAAAGGAGAAAAACTTGCTAGTCCTTTTCCACTATCTCTGGGAGCTGAATTTACACAGGTGAGCATGTGGCAGTGCACATGGAGTTTAGCTTAGACAAAGCATGCCGGCTTTCCCACGTTTGCTGTTTCAGCAGTCAAATGAAAGGCGCAGCAATGCGAACTGCACTTCAATCATCATCAAAGAATCTTTTCAAATGTGTAAGCTCTTTGCTAAACTGAGACAGTGAACTAGGCCAGAATCCTTAAAAATCTTTGCTGGCGCAAAAGCCACAAGCAACGGTAAAGTCAAGTAGAGAGCATTTACAGAGAGGCCCACCGAACAACCTAGTGTACTGTAGAAGCTAGGAGATGTCTAGTGAAGATAATATTTAAATAGCTTTTCTTAGCATATGATCAGCCACAGAAAGTTACAGCAAGTAATTTTTCACAAGAAGGTACAGCTGACTGGCTTTTGAGAACTTACATACTGCGCATAAACTTAAAAAAAAATGTAACCCTTTCAGAAAGGGTAATGGGGTTGTTCTGAAAGCCCTCACAAACTGTGATCTGAGAATATAGTTTTCAGTGGCATGCAGCTATCTGGGAGGCAGCGGGGGCATTTTCAGCATCATTGGCTTGGTACCATTTGGAGTGTCTTTGGAGTACCTTCTGCATCTAAATACACTCCTGCATCTATGAGTGGCAGAAAAAACAAGAACTGAGAAACAGAAGCTGTCACAGATTAAGGAATGCAGTTTGTCTTCCAAAAGACTTGGTTTATAAGCATTAGACTGTTACCTGCTGCTAACTCCTGAAGAACTTACTAAATGTTTCCTTCTTTTTCAAAGGTCTATTAGACATGCATAGAAACTGGATACTCAATGCATGTTGCATTAACTGTATGGAGGAGAACGTATCTTTAGAAAGCTGTTTTATTTTAGCAATTTAGTACAGGGAACTAACTTTGTAAAAAAAAAAAAAAAAAAGCCAGTTAAAATGTGCTTACACAGAAAT